TTCCTCACTTACATGTGATAAAATTCTAATTAGAAAATACAGTAAGCAGTAAAATAATACTTTGCTACCATTTAGGAAAATAATTGGAGGAAAAATGTATACAACTGAATCCTTTCAGATATAGAAACATTTTTATATTAAGGTGTTGGGAATATATGTGAAAGTCCATCCAAGTAATAACTAGAGCTGGCCCTGCTTAGCTTCCAAAATCAGACAACATCTGTAAACAATAGACATATTTGTTATACTGCTAGAGCTTCCCTTTGCTGCAGTTATTTTATAAATAAATTCAGACCTTTTCACTCCATGTTTTGCTACTCAAGGGGGACACATTTATTATATGGAAGGCTTCTACCAAACAGATGGAACTGAATCCAGAGATATTAAAGGCTGGAATGGCCACTGTCCTGTTCTTAAAAGACAAGCTGCATATTCAGCTTCTCTTAAGGGCTGTCAAACAATGGTTTATATTTAGGTGTGGATACTAAAGTGCAAACATTCTGGCTTCTGCCATGTCCTTTAAAGTATATAGCAAGTGCTCCAGGCAGTGACAGCTTCAAGTTACAGAGATACGTTGACCAAAAATAGGTCTACTTTCTCCTTTTTGCAGTCAACATTACCTATTAGAATGAAATGAAATGAAATGTATGAGTGCTAATGTTGTATACTAGAGAAGTGGTTCTCTTGAGAAGCACAAAAACACATAGATTTCCAGTGCGTGTGGGAAAAACAATGGTGATGAAGATGGGTAAGTTGTCTCTTTCATCAGTGATGGCATGGACACTGTTCAATCAGAACATGAGAGAACTGCACCATGACAACAATCTATAATGCAATGGTGCTTAACCTATGGGTTCCCAGATGTTTGGGCCTTCAGCTCCCAAAAAACCAAACAGCTGGTAAACTGGCTGCGATTTCTGGGAGTTGTAGGCCAAAACATCTGGGGACCCACAGGTTGGGAACCACTGCTGTAATGGAATAACTTTGGGAAGAACTTGGATAAATTCATGGTTCAGTTGGCTGAATGGATCAAACATTCACACCCCTCACTTCTCTTTGCAGCCCTCCACAGAATTAAAAAATGGACTCAGCCTTTCAGATTTGCTTTGAGGGGGCACATAGGGGATTGCAGTCCACTGTTGGTTCCTATTCCAAGGTGGCTCAGGTACTGGAATTTTGCAGTCTGGAAATATTTTTTTTCTGTAAAATACAACTGCCAGAATCCATCAACTCATGGGCCATCCTGGCTGGGTCAGTGTTAGATCTATAGTCCAAAATAGTAACTTTTTCAAGCTCCGAAAAGAGACATATAATCTGATGGAGGAAATCCTTGCGTCCCTTCCAACAGAAGAGTGTGAAGAGTTTGTAAGGAATGGGGTAGTGAGCAATAAAGGAAGTGCCCATATTCCTCCTGGAAAAAGGGATTGCTATATACAAACGGAAAACAGTTAATAGATTGCATCCAGTTTCATTACGTCAAGTGAGAAATGAGTTTTGGTGCTTTGACAGTTAAGTGCTCACCACTTAAATGTTCTCTCATCTCAAATGCTTTTGAATATCTTCGATGCAGTTGCTGTGGGGGACTGCTGGACAATCTGGAGTGCAGTGTCATCAGTATGTCAAGCATCCTGATTGTTTTGATATGACTGTGAGCTGAAGTTAGCATCATGTGCTGGTATTAGGACTCTCTCAGGGGTTGGATGAGCTAATCTTGATACTCCAACATCAATAAAATGCTACTTCTTTACAGAAGTAACTACAATCAATGGCATTCTATTACTTCTTGAGATCCACTGTAGAGATAGCAAGTGCATATATTTCCTACAGAAGGGACATATTCAACAAAAGTATTGAAAGCAAGAATGGTTGAGGAAAGAATCATCCAGGAAAGTTTAGATTTCAAGCCCCCCCCCCCCCCCCCCGTGTCCCCCCCCCCCCCCCCCCCCCCCCCCCCCCCCCACCCCCACCCCCCCCCCGGGGTGTTCCCCCCCCCCCCCCCCCCCCCCCCCACCGGTCCCGCTTTCCACGGGTTTCCCCCCCCCCCGGGGTTTCCCACCCCCCCCCCCCCCGGCCGGGGCGCCCCCCCACCCCCCCACCCCCCCCCCCCCCCCCCCCCCGACTACATACCTTCCCCCCCCCCCCCCCCCGGTTTTGGAATACTTGCATTTGCACGTATGTATTCCAAGGTATCTCGGAGATGGGACCCAATCTACATATGAAATTTATATGTATTTATGTATCATATATGCTTTAAGGAGCTCCTGCCGGCACAGCGGGTTAAAGTGCTGAGCTGTTGAACTTGCTGACCGAAAGGTTGGTGGTTTGAATCTGGGGAGCAGGGTGAGCTCTTGCTATTAGCCCCAGCATCTGTCAACCTAGCAGTTCAAAACCATGCAAAAATGTGAGTAAATCAATAGGTACCACTTTGACAGGAAGGTAACAGTGCTCCATGCAATCATTTCAGCCACATGACCTTGGAGGTATCTATGGACAATGCTGACTCTCTGGCTTAGAAATAAAGATGAGCATTACCCCCTAGAGTTGGAGTCAACTAGATTTAATATCAAGGGGGAACCTTTACCTTTTATATGCTTTAAAACACAGCCTGAAGGAGATTTCAAACACAATGTTTTTTAATAATTTTGAATGAAATGAAGTTTGTGTCCATTCAACTATTAGAAAGCAAAGGTGACACTATCTCACCCATCCATGTGGATGATTTTGGAATATTTTGAATTTCAGAAAAGGGATGCTCAACTTGTATATGTACATTGAAAGTAACAGTCACCTATGGTTTACTGAAATCAGCCAATTTTCATTAATGTAGATCAAAACTTTCATTATAAAGGAACCATGTCTCTACTTTGTCCCTTAAAGTGATAATTTGGAGACAAATGCTGAAGTTACGAAGTGAAAACACTTGCGATAAACTATTTTTGAGTAATAGTAGTAGCCTTGCTTAGCTATGTGGAAGTAAGTTCAATTGTGGTAAAAAAGAATTAATTTCAGGAAAGTGAAGGTCTTCAGAAAAGCAGAAAACTTGAGCAGGATTGCTATCATACTGTGTATTATTCATTTATAAAATTTCCCTCCAACAAAGATGCACACAGAAATGTATATATTTCTCAACATTAAATCTTCTAAAGACTAGTAAGCTTCACTAATTTTAGAAAGATTCAGTGAAAAGCGAACTTCACATATGATCAAGCTGCAGACGACACTGTTAGCATCATATTAAAAAACACCTGTGCTGTTGTAGATGAATTTGGTACACAACTTAAGATGAATTTGTATGCACTGTTTTTTAAGAGGTAACTTTGCAAACAGTCCCAAGTTGAGCATAAAGCAAGCAGCTTTCTAGGTTTAATGTCTTTGCAATCCTGTGCGTATCTATTTAACGTTTGCAAAAATATAAATGGTGACCCCACCCCGAGTCCTATGCAAAATTACTAGGAAATCAAATTCACTCAATTTAGCTTATTACTGAATAAACACATGCAGGACTGCATATTATATTTTAGGAAATATTTACACAGTCAGAACTGTATAAAATGGAAATGCTTTGTACACACCAACAACTATCCAAAACAGGAGGAATTTTATAACAATCTTAAAAGATCTAGACAATCTGATCGGGAGGTTTAAATACATAGCTGGCCATGTGCCACACCCATTAAGTACAGTTGGGAGGATTTTAATTTATACTCTTATATAACTAATATATCCTTCCTCTGTGATTAATCAGCATTCTTTAAAAGCCAACTGAGCAACCAACAAACACAGAATAATGTCCTTGTTAATATTCAGGGACCTGTCTGTTTGAAGCAGGATGCAAACCTCAGGAATTTTTACAGTACTCATTCTTTAAAAGACATTACTTTAAAAGCGCTACTCATTCTTTAAAAGATGTTCACACAACACAGCCTGATCAAAATGATAATAAAAAGAAGCTTCATCTGACTGAGCATCTCCCTCCCTTCTTAGTTCTTTTTGTTCTTGTAAAGACCCACCCCCACTCAATACGAATGAAATCATTCCTATTGCTTTTCACCATCAATTCCATTTCTTTCCCTAATTTCTATTTCCCCCGAAGCCGCTCCTGGAAACTATATAGCCAGCTTGGAGTTGGCAGGCACCAACTACCCACAGCGGCTCGACTTTCACACCTCCCAAAGATTTCACCTGCAAAGGCGTTTTCATCCTGGTTCCTAGGCGTTTCATTCGGCCAGTGCACCGACTGACTCACTCGCTTCTTCAGCTGAGAAGGCCGGCAAACCGTTCCCTCCTTAGTAAGCCAGCTGCGGCTGCTATTGCTGCTGCCTGGACCAGCTAGAAGGCGCTGCCCAGCCAACAGTGTGGAAAGAATGCTTCAGCATCGCTAAAAACAAAACACTTCAGTACGGCATCCTGAAAGCACTCAAGCACTAACTAGTGGCAAGCTGTCAAAGCCAGCCTGAAAGAGTTTTTTTTCCCTTCAATGCTTCTTTCGAAGTCAGCAAAGAAGAAGCTTAATTCTGTGCTGTGCTTCCCTATGCTACTACTTAAATAAATGATTGCTTGGGATGTGTGTGTGCATGAGAGAGAGAGTGCGAGAGAGAATTCATTCATTCGATTCCTGTTAACTCACGCATGCAAAGAATAAAAGTCACCACAATGCCCCAAACTTTGAGCAAACTTTCACATGGCAAGGCAAACAAAATATGGAAAGGTGGCGCAGAGGAAGGAAAGGACAAAGGCGGCTGTAGGTCTCCTGACATCTTTGCAATGACAAAAGTAATAATAAAGAAGACAAGGCACTCCAATTATACACCGCCATCCTCCCCCTGCTTTGCTACCACTCACGGCATTATATTCATGAGTCCCTTGATTACGCACAGTCTATTCCACATTATATAAGCCTAGAAGAATGTGGAAAAGAAGCCATTACCAACAATTAATTCTTTGTACAAAGTATGCACGCAACCACACACACACACACACTCACACACAGCATTTCCTACCGTTCTAATTGCAGTTGGGATTCCTGATTCATCTATTGGGCCAATCCCTGCATAATGTGGTGCTTTAATGACCGTGACTTTCTTCTCTTCCTCCGACGTTCTACAGATTGGTATTGTGCTGGTGCTGCTGCTGCCGCCAACAGAATGAGCATGCTGTGAGTATGTCTCTGTGGATTCTACAAAGATAATGTTAACACAACGCTGTATAACAATTTAATTACCATGCTCAAGTCTGCGTAGTGGGCTATGCACTTTCAAAGTCTCATCTGCAACCAATGTGGCAAAATGACACACGCTTCTGAAACACTAGACATTGGGACATTAGCGGGGTTGGAGAGGGGAGTGGATGTTCACTCTAGGATCCACAGCTCAATGGGAGAGCACATGCTTTGCACGCAGAAGGTCCCCGGCATCTCCAGTTAAAAGGATCAGGTAGCAGGTGATGAGAAGGACTCTTGCCTGAAACCCCTGCAGAGGTGCTGCCAGTCACAGTACACAACATGTGCGAACATGGACACAGTGTCTGAGCCAGTGTTGGCAGCTCCCTGGACCTCTATTTGTGCTGGAGAGGAGAGGTAAATTTAATGTCCTAATCTCTGTGCTGAGCTCTGGATACAGGCACATTTTATTTTATTATTCAGCCTCACATAAAATGGCTGGGAGGTAGTGAGGGTTAAATGAGGGGAAATGCAGGCCAATTTTAGAACATTTATGCCAATGAGAGAGGCAAAGGAGTTAGGCATATCATAATGTTAAAACTGAGGCAGACCCGTCTGAAACATATATAGTATTATTTTTTAAAAAATGATGGTGCAAGAAGGGAAAGGAAAGATGAATTATTATTTGAACGAAGTTGATGAGGCAGGGATAATCTGAATGATAGAAAGCAACAAAGGAAAAGGGGCAGAAAGTACAGGCAGTCCTCAAGTTACGAACAAGATAGGTACCGTAGGTTTGTTCTTAAGTTGAATTTGTATGTAAGTTGGAACAGGTACATTTTAAAGTGTAACTCCAGCCATATATATATCCAAGCAAGCTTTGGATAGCATAGGGAAGGATAACCACCCCTGTGATGTTTGTTTTGCTGTTTTTGCCTCTGTTCAGAAGATTTTACTTCACCTTCTGTCCCTGTGATTATTGGATTTTGGAAAAAATTGCTTGCTGTGGAAACAAGGATTGGTAATAAAACTTCAGTGGAGACACCTTTTGTTGGGGAATCCGAGCTGTTAGGCTCAAAAATAACCCTCAGTTGGGTTGATTCCACCATAAATAAAGCAGAGTACCAGAAGTAAACTTCATAAGCAGCAGAAACTAACATGTGATGAGCTGGGATAAGCTTCTATTACTTAGGATGGCACAGGACTGCAGAGTCAGAATTTTAGGTTCTATTTTAGATAGAAAAGGTCTTGGAGCTAACTAAATCTCATCTTCTAAAGAAGTAAAAGGATAAAAAGTAAAAAAATCCATGCATCTACATTTTGCCTAAAGAGAGAGGCAAAATGTGTCCTCACTGGAAGGAAGAAAAGGCAGAAGAGACTGGAAAATGATGAATGGCCACATGGCCAAGCCCAGGGCAATAAAATACCCTTAAAAAAGGAAGTTCACTCACAGAGATTCCATTGCCACATCTTCAAAAGGGGAGGAGACAGTGGTTAGCAGGAGGAGGAAAGATAAAGCCCTTTTGGTAAACATGTATAGGAATGTGGGGGAGGAATCCCTCAGCCTAATCCTATCTCTAGTCTATCTACTCATTGATGCCTGGAAGCTTGATGAACTGTGCAGTCCAGGGATGAAACCCAACAAATTTTCCCCATGATAACTGTTCCAGGAGTGAGTTTCCCTTCCTAGGGGTAGATTTCTCTTACTTCCTATTGTCTCACCCCCATTCTTAACTATGAGATGTTTGTAACTCAGGGACTGCCTGTAATTATAACAACCCCTTGAGTTGAACACAAGTTTGAGGAGTGTTCTGCAATTATCCTTTCCTCATTACTGGAAGTTAGTAAACTGTTTTATATGGAGTCAGACCACTGGTCCACCAAATCTAGTATGGTTGACTAGCTCTCCAGGGTTTCAGGAAGAGGTCCCTCTTAGTCTGAGATGTGAAGGACTGCATCTAGGACTTTTACATGTGCAGTGCATGATGTACCACTGAGCAACATGCCTCTTAATGCAATGGCCTGAACACAGTGACAAACTACTTCATTGCATTCTTACACAACAATTTCCATCTATTAGTGAACATACACCAGTCCAGTTAGCTTTCACCCCAAAATTAAATACAGAAAAAGTGTAACAAATAGACATAAACCTTGGACTTTGTATAAGCTGAGGAAAGCAGTTCAAAAGCTTTCCCCCCATTTGCTAGGTATAAACTGTATCTAGATACAGTTGTGCTTAGAACTGGCCCACTGAAATCCACAGAACAAATTAATAGTAACCAGGGCTGGCCTGCCAGATATTGTTGAACCACAACTGCCAGAGTTCCTCACCACTGACTATGCTGATGGGACTGGCAGTTCAGCAATATTTAGAGAGCCACCCAGTTCTCACCCCAGTCAAAATTAACGCCAAACTCATTGGTGTCAGTGGAACCTTTCTAAGCTTGACTAGACATGGTTTCAACACTACCATTCCAGTTCATCTTGGATCATATGCAACTAGTCACACACAACTGATGGTCACATGTCTTGAACATCTTCGTTGTTGAGATAGACAGATAGCAGGCTCCAAGCAATGTTTACCCTGAACAAGAACGATGTTCTAAAACAGTGGTTCTCAACCTGTGGGTCCTCAGGTGTCTTGGCCTACAACTCCCAGAAATCCCAGCCAGTTTACCAGCTGTTAGGATTTCTGGGAGTTGAAGGCCAAAACATCTGGGGACTCACAGATTGAAAACCACTGTTCTAAAATATCAGATGATCAGAATATTTTCATTTGACAATTACAATAACGCTAAGAATGGCTTTTCTGAACAATTCATTCTGGGGTTGCTGGTTATTGCTGCGCTACAGCTGCAAAAGTCTTATACGATGTGCCAAAGAATCTTGCTTGCCAAATGACAGTATAATTAGATAAATAAGTCCTTCATCCACATATCTTAAAGTACAAAACAGCACATATGTAGTAAATGCTTCTAAAGGTAAGCTGGGTCCAGGAGAAGTCTAGATTATTGCCATTTCATAGAAATAATGAAACAAAGTATTAAGACTGCTAATATTTGGCACAGGCACCTCTCTTGTTTGTTTAAATTTGCAAGACTATAAATAACACAGTTTGAAACATATATGGTAAGGTGGGTTACTGTGTACAAAATAGCTGAATAACTGGGCTTCTTTCCAAATACGTGCAATACTAAATTTAGGGTGGGAAATGTGGACTGTGATCCTATAGTCCAAGAATGGAAGAAATAATCTTCCTGTAACAGTGGGATTTTCAGGGACTAGCTGAATGTGACATCAGCCATGCAAATGCAAATAATGTAATAGTTCTGAAAAAACAGCAAAAAGCAGCCATTGCCCGGGGGATCGGGGGGGACGGGGATGGGAAGGGACACCACCAGAACTGTACAGATTAGAAGAGGGGAGTGAAATCTTCTTCCAACCTATTGGCCTGATAAAAATAATAAGTACAGAAGAAGAGCTGAATTTTATTAGACTAAATACCTATCAACTCCAACATTAATTACACACAGTTGGTCTGGTCCACCAGTTGTCAATGAGAAGCCCAGACATAGGACATGAACGCAATACCACCCACCCACTGATTTTCCCCAGCAATGAATATATGGAAACATGATGGCTTTGGTTTGCTTTTTCCGTAGGACTGAAGGCCCTGTTTTTGTGCTAAGATCTCTCCTTTTTTGTAATACTAAACCCTCCTTTGTAGGCTGCATCACATGATAAGATGTTTTGTTAGAAATGTATTCTCCAGATATCTCCGTTTCAAAATGCAACGTCACTTAAGAATAATTTTTCACAGAATTAATAATCCCATAATATGATTCTGGCACACTGCTGTAGCTACAGTCAAAACCTAAAAACAGCAACTTCACTTTATATTCAGGTTCTCGATCACAAAATATCTCACCATTGTTGAGATTTTTTCTCACAGGGTTTCTATGGACAATGGCTCCTTTATTAACGCTTCAAGCTATCTCATGACTCACCAGCAATCCAACTCCCTTTGCAGTGGCCCAGTTACCATCCTTGGCACCAAAATGACCAGGACAGCATCATTTTGGTGAAGGGAAATGGTATCTGTCACAGAAAATAAAGCTACACATTTTCCTCTATCATGACATCCCCAAATGCCAATGTTTCTAGGTCATTTGGGGGTTGAGAAGATACTGGATAGAAGTTTGTTGCTGTTGCCATTGCCAGTCCAGATGGATGCAAAATCTAACTTTAAAAAAAATAAGGCAAAGTGGCAAAATGCATTTGATTTCCCACCCTGTTTTCTCAAAGCAGGCATACCTCAGTTAACAAAGCCTCTGCAATATAAGCTTCTTTTTATAGTCTTTTTACGCTTGCCTGACCCTCCTTTGCCTTTGTCTAGTTAAAAACTGTTTCAGCAGCATCAACATTGGTAGGAGGATGAAAGAAGGCTAGGAGAAACACAAACTTTCAGTGTTGGCTTTTGAAAGCACACTTGTAGTAAACAATGCTGTAAATCTTGAGCAGGGAAAGAGTAGGATCCAACTATGAGTGCCTGCTTACAACAGGCAAGGTAAACAGCAGCCCCCTTACTATGTATGATTAGCAAAACAAAGAGACAAAGGAAGAGTAGATTTGTCTCACCAGTTCACCATAGTATGTTTTTTTTTAAAAAAAAGCACAAATGTTTTGCTGCCATAATTGAAATTATTAGAAAAGTGGAAGCAGGTAAAACTAGTGTTTGGATGAATTTTGAGAAAAGCCTTTACATGATCGTTAGAAGGAAGAAGTCTTACAGTTAAATTTAGACATTTGTCTAAACTAGTTGTTTCATTACAAGATGTGCATATCTTTAGTTTTGAGGAAGGGGCATCTCCTGAAATGTGTACAATTCCCTCTCTTTTTTGTGGTGTAGGAACCTATACACCTCTTTCCATGTTACTTCTGTATGACACCAAATTTTGTATTAAAATGTAATGCCCAGGAACGGATGTACTTCATTAACGGAGGTATATCGTTATTTTATTAAAAGGTTCTTTTTGCAGATTTAGGGCTTCCTGTTCCTGCTGTCAGGGGCGCAGTTCGAAGCACATTGTCCATTGAAAATTGGAGAAATCATCCCTTAATTTTACATAACCCAGATCAGCTTACAATGGATTTTCTTTAGAGTTTAATAAATTTGCACTATATAAAGAACTCACCCATAACCCTGCTCTGGTGCAGGTGAACTGTGCTTGAACTGAGTGAGACCGGCGGGGAATAGGCTGAAGCGGGGGAGAAAGGCCTTTGGAAGTGACTCATTGGGCTTGTTGCTGCACTAGAGGTCCCATTCACTGTTATCTGAGTCTGAGAGGGAAGAATAGACATACAAAAATAATCACATCCCATGATACCACCCAGAGAACAGTTATGAACGTCAAATACAAAGGGGGAAGAAGGAGACGGGATCCTCCAAACAGCAGTACGTTGTCATAACATATAATTCGCAACCATTCTCCTTCAAACCCCCACCCCAAAATATGGCATGCTGAAATCATGGGAAGCCGCTAAAACTTCAGAGAAAGAATTTGCTTTCAAATGATACAAAACATAGAACATCTGCTTTCATACGATACAAAGCAAAGATGGCGGTACAGTCATCCCTGCCCCCCAGTTTCTCTTTAATATCATATATTTTTCACATAAATATAAACATAACAACAAGAGAATTAAAAAATCTTTCAAGTATTGTGATAAGTCTGAGGCTGAGTTTAACACACACTCATAAAAAAGATAATTGATGGCTGTAGGTTTCTATGGCTACACATTTAACAACATATTATCCACTGTGCTGCACCAGTATCTCTCTTTTATCTTTGAAAAATTATGCTACGCCTGCCATTTTATGCAAGCTTTGATTTATTAGGGCCACATAGTTGTAGCTTTTGAATTGCTGGATGTACAATTTGGTAAAATCCAAACAAATCGCAGCTGCTTTGCTTGGCTGTGCTAGGATGCATAGTGAGGTGGCAGCCTTAGGCGGCAGATGCAGAGGTGTAGTTACAGAGCTAGAGACTATTACTTGAGCAGCCTAATGCAGGAGCAGACAGTTCACTTTGTTAAGCTGTTTGCCCCAAGCTACCACAGACTAGTCCAGTACTCTCAGGTATAGTTGCAAAGCACTAAAATGACATCAATTATAATTATGTTGTCGAAGGTTTTCATGGCTGAAATCACTGGACTGCTATGAGTTTTCCGGACTATATGGCCACTCACAGCAACATTATTATTATTATTATTATTATTATTATTATTATTATTATTATTATTTTACTGATACAAAAACACAGTATGTCACAGCAAATGAGATCTATATGCTGGGTTTCGTATCACAAAATCACAAGTCGAACACTTCCCAAGCGTCTAGGACTGTGTGATGTATTTTCGAATGATGCATGCAGATCCAAGTAAGGTGGCCTTTTGCAGTTGACAGATCATGATTTTGGCAATGTTTATTGTTTCCAAATGCTGGCTGAGATCTTTTGGCACGGCACCCCGTGTGCCAATGACTACTGGGACCACCTGTACTGGTTTATGCCAGAGCCTTTGCATTATTATTATTATTATTATTATTATTATTATTATTATTATTATGTTTATTTATATCTTGCTTTCTTTCTCCATAAGGAGACTCAATTGGCTGTGAGAAGTACTGAAATAGTAAAAAAAACCTCCCAAAACCTGGGTCGAATTATCCACAGGTCAGTATGAGTATTATAAGTATAACTTTTATCAGAAAAGGAACCATCCCCTTCTCTGAGTAGATTGGCAAAAGACAAGAGCTCACTCCATCTTGGGAGAATCTAAAAGAAGCATCAACCCCCTCTACTCTTTGCCATAGCATCGCATCTTACCTGACTGCCCTTCCACACAGTCATATAACCCAGAATATCAAGGCAGATAATCCACAATATCTGCTTTGAACTGGGTTATCTGAGTCCACACTGCCATATAATCCAGTTCAATGTGAATTTTATACAGCTGTGTGGAAGGGGCCTGAGTGAGGAAAAGGTGGTGGTAGACAAGTGTGCCTGGTTCCCTGAGTTGGCATTTGTACTTTCCCTTCTCCATGGAATAGCCTTTGATTTAGCCATAGAGCATATCAAAATCCATAATTTTTGCCCCGAAACCTGACCTTGATCTATATTTGAGGTCAACTTATGCATGAGCATATACAGTAATACATTATACCAATCTGCTACACTTTTATGTTCATTGATCACTCTATACCTGTATCTTCATCCTAGTAAGGCAGTACAGGTGGTATTAGGAAAGACACCAGCATTTCATGCCCTAAATTCATTCCTTTGAAAGCTATACGTGCACTGAGGGTGGTTCCACGCATACATTAAACCCACTTTGGAGCGGTATCCGGGAGCTTGCGCACTTTCCACGCTGTGTGGATCCACCCTGAGTTCAAAACTCCTAATAAATTTGTTTAGAATCACATCCTACCTTTAACAGGTAAACTGTTTGGGATTAAAAATCAACCTATTTTATCATCTTAAGTTAGATTTCTTTTTTCTTTCAGAAGTCCTTTAAAATATAAAACCCTATAATTTTGCAATGTGGTCCATTAAATGCTGCTATATTCCAGCTACATTTAACCTTGCAGCTAGAACCTGCATGCCTCATTTGAGATGAGGATGAAATTATCTCCATAATCAAGTTGTTGGTTGTTGTAGTTTTCATGTGTCTTGCGCACATTAATTCATGGGTTTTCGACCTATCCATTAAGGACACATGCCTTTACTCTGAAGCACTTCCCGTGAGTTATTAAAAGAAAATGTGTCCCTGAAAAAAAAAACGCATTGTAGGGAAGGAATGTAAAGATTACTCATGCTTTTATTCCTGTAAGATAAGAAGTGCTTTAGGGGGAAATGTTAGTTGGAGAAAAAGGCTGAATAAGAAGCAACTTCACGCAGTCAAGGGATCTCTGCTAGTGGAAAATAAAGTTGCGTTAAATGCTGAATTTATAAATATATTAACATCATTGTCGAGGCACACTTTTAATGATGGTGATCCCTTAGTAGTCACTAAAAAGTTTGCCCTTTGTGGTAACTTTCTGCCCAAGGAAAGCATGAAAAAGTTAACTTGAGCTTCAAGCCGAAGAATAATATTTTGAAGCTCTAAGTAGCTGTCCTTTTATCCTATAATTTTTTTCAGCATAACACAGAATGGTTAAAAAATAATTACAAGGTTCCTCTGGGGCTAAAATTTAAGGTAAAGCTCCAGATTTTGCTGTGATAACAAGGTGTAGACCTGTGATATTTTTTTCATGTCAGGAGCGACTTCTGAAACTCTGGTTTGAGAGAATTGGCCATCTGTAAGGACATAGCCCAAGGGAAGCCCAGATGTTTTACCATCCTGTGGGAGGCTTCTCTCATGTCCCCACATGGGAAGCTGGAGCTGATAAATGGAAGCTCATCTTGCTCCCCGGATTCGAACCCGTAAGCAGTCCTGCCAGCACAACCCACTGCACCATTGGGGGCTCCTAGTCTTGTGATATGATAAGCAGCAATAAATAGTAACTATCTGAATGTGTGGATAGTATCCTTCCCTCATTGATAAGAGATATTTTGAGTGTGACAGTATCGAAAGAGGTACAGGTATGTGTACCCTGTATATCCTATTCCACAATGATACCATAAAGCCTCAACAAAAACATTTAAACTCTCTTATTTAAGAAACATATAGAAATCTGTCAGAAGACGATGTGGACATTTCTTTTGGTTTGGAAAACCTACGTGTGGCATTTGGGTTGTAAGGTTATGGCAGAAGCACAAGTAAGACAATCCACTTGTATTTCCTGTTTACCATTTAGAAACTAAACCATCAATGGATTAAGGAGAAGGTCATCACAGTAGAAAATGTAACTTTGAAAGCAGACATTGTAAAATGCTTATTCATTTCTCATCAAGAGATTTATGGTTCACCTTTAATCATGTATATTATCTGGACATTCAATAGCAAAATTAATCTCAAATGAAATAATATTTGAGTAAACAGATTTAAAAATTGAAAACAAATAAAATATGTTTCAGCTAACATAAACAAAACTACAAGGGGAAAGATTTTTCACTGTTCACATGGTGAAAATTCACATTTGTATTTTTTCTTTCATTTTAATAAGGCTTATTTTGATATCTCAAGTCTCAATCACTATATTTTTGTATTCCTGCTGACAATAGAAAGTTCATCATAAGCAGCAGTAGGAAAAATGCTGAACCTATAGAAAAACATATGTCACTCAAAACTTATTTTTACAAAACCATTTTTGTGCAAGATTCTGTGCAAAACTAACCTTTCACAACATTTTTGTAAAAGAAGAAGAAATCCCTGTCAATGCACAAAAATTCAAAACATTGCTCATCCAGTAATGAAATAAGACACTATTTAGATCCCTACTCTTAACTGATCAGAAAAGGAAACTTATCTTTTACAGGATGGAGCACTGATTCAAAGTACTAGAATGATCTACCTCCAGATTTATTTGTTATTACTTAAACATATGACATGTAAACATGCATAGAAAGAAATACTGCCAAAGACTAGCATGCTGATTAGTTAGATGGAGTGCCAGTCAAGGATTATTTCTTTCCCACATTGTCAGCCTGGTTGAACAAAAGGGAGGAAAGAGAAAATATAATTACATGGCAGCCGGCAGCAGTGGAGGTTAAGGTGGTGCCATCTGACACAGCAGACATCTGACTCAAGGTTGGGGAAGGTGTTTCAGAACAGTCAGTAGTATCATAGTTACAGCTCTGTAGGTCATCTAGAATGGCCGTGGAGGACTCACTCACCGGGCGAGAGGAGTACTCACTCATGGCTGAGTCTGTCCTGACAGAGGCCGTTTCAGTCCTGTGGTGGATAGTACTGTCTGGAACTAGGAAAGGGTATGTGTATGAGAATCGTGAAAGGGCCAGGGTTCTATAAAAGCGTGAAGGCCAAAAACTGGTTGGCAAAATATAGGATGTTACGTGGCTGCCACCACTGTCGGGTGAGTGAGAGGGTCTGTTAATCGACACCCTGGAAGGAGGAGGTGAAGGAGGCAGTGGCGAAGTTTCAGCTGAAGTTTGTCTGTGTGACTGTGAAGCATTTACCTCCATCACACTGGCAGTAACTTTCTGGTTTCCATGCTGAGTTTTGAGAAACAAACAAACAAACAAAAAAAATAAGAAAACACATTACTTAATTGATTTTTAAAGAAGTCTTTTCTTTATCCTTTTGTTGTGTGAAAGAGTCTATGAGTGGGAAAAGACTCACCACATGTGTGTATTTTATAAAAGCAGTCACAGGAAGCACAAGCTAATAGATCAGAAATAAACTCATTACAAATGAAAACACAGGAAGGGAATTTGTTAAGTCTTTAGAGAAGCAATGCCAGAAACAATAGTGTATTGGGATAAACATTAATGGCAATTTCCAAGGATCATGTTTCATTAAGCTGCATTTATCTATAATGAATATTTGAGAATTCCCCCATATAATTACACGTATCTCCTCAAAGGACTCCTGTAGTCTCAAAGGACTTTAATGAAAGTAAACAGTGTGTGTCAATAAGGGTCTTGGGACTAGTCAAATTAGGTATAATTCTTTCATAGCCAGTGGTGAAAGAAATCAAAACACTAGTTTATGTTAATGGGAGGCTTTATTAAATTGATGAGGCTGGGTCACTGTTCCTCCCTATTGTTATAAACACAATTTGCTGTAGATGCATATCTGAAAGGCAGAGATTTATGCATGTCCACAGGCTTCCTCTCATCAGGTATCCATACTCATAGCATGAATGTGGGGGACATGGATGCTTGCAATACTACAAGTTCTATTAGGGTTCCACTTCCTTTTGATAATATAGAACCCATTTCATACAGGCAATGAATGAATCAGATTATTGTTGCAATTAGTCTTAACTAAACATTATTGTACCAATTTTAAACAAACAATGGATGTCATGTATATGTATCTGTCCTATTGTTAAGGCACAAATCTAGAGCTATTCCTTGGTATCAAGGGCTATAATCCTAAAAGCATGTAACTGTGTATAATCTTCACTGAATTTACAATATGACCCTCTTAACCATAGATTCCATTATTACACTCCAAAATTATTCCCTCCTGAAAGTATTTGAGGGCCCCTCTAGGTCTTCCAATGTGATACTTTGGTATGCTTCAAGCCCAAGTATAGTCAAAATATGGGGATTGCTATTATCCATGGCGTCAAGTATCTACGGGGGTCTTGGCATGTATCCCTTGCATTGATATGAGGTTGTACTGTAGTAGGATTTGAATGTCACAAGTGTTAGAAAACTTGTGACATTCAGATAATGACCTCTGTTTCCCATTTAAAGGCAAAGATGGATCCTGGCTCAATCTCCCCTTTTAAATCTGAAGGTACTCTGATAATCAAAAGAAGTTTGAAAACTTCTGATTAGCATATAATGCTAGGGTTAGTGCAGATATGTGACAGATTGGTTATTTAGTGCTAGGAGAGTAGTGAAGACCTTGGAAGCTAGGAATGTAAAGTATGTGAAAAATGAAGAGGGTTCTTAATGGTTTAGACTACATGTTCCAATCAAGTATCTTTTCCATGACATAAGGAAGAGGGGGAACATATAGGTAAAGAGATTTTGTGGCTAATCAAAGGATAGTTATAAACACAGTAGAACTAAACAATGCACAAGGAATAAGCAAGCAAATTGAAACGTTTGCATTACAGTCTTCTTCTGCAATTCAATTTTATATAAAAATGATACCACAGATTTTTCTGGAGGAGTTTGTGAAGTAATTCCTTTTGTTTGCTACCAACAAACTATCTTTTTTTATGCATTGCTGATATATTATGAGCCATGCATTGGCAAATAATTGCTCCTGATTTGGGTGTTAGTTGTTTCACCAAACTGAAGAGCTGCTGAATTACTTCAAGAATAACAAGCTGTTGATTGTACCACTTTACAAATTTTGAAAAGCACACTATGTTGTGATTTTATGCTGTAATCTGTCAGTTTAGAGTCAGCAGTAATCCAATTATAGGATTGCTATCTGAGAGTCATTTACAGTAAGTACAGTGGGAAAAACTAGTCACCTAAAAATGGTTTCAATCCAGCAGATTTTCCTGAGCTACTGAAAGGCCCTTTTAATCTCCATCTGAAAATATCTTTTTAAGCTCCTACAGCACATTTGAGAAACTATCCAAACTGTGTTGATTTAATAGGTCTGATCCTAAAAATACTGCCAGAATGATCAGTCTTTTACCATGATAGAACAACAAAAAGCCTTATATTTTGCATGAGTGACATAAATCACAGCATCAAATCTGTGGTCGGGGATTCTGTGAGGCATGTTTTTTTTTTAAAAAAAAAATCAAATACAGAACTGGTTTTGAAATATATTTTAAAGACCTCTATCATCTCTTGACTTAACACAAAAAACTCTTATTTTGAAGAGCAAAGAGTTGGCCTTAGCTTAGTGATTCCCAACCTTTTTATGAACAGGGACCACTTGACCAAGCACCACTCTCCAACATTAGTACCAAAAGTGTCACAAATCAGTTTTTGGTCAACTTTACATTTGGTTTGGTTATTTGAGGTGCTGATTCAGAAAACTGCATTGTATAGACCACATCAGCTCTAGTTTCTGATACAGTACATATGCCATCAGGTAGTCGCCATCTGCTCGCCCACAGAAAACCATATTTAATAATCTATAGCTGATGTGGTAGTAGTAATCTTTCATGGGTAGTCACTCTCTCCCTTCCCAACATCCCTGTTGCCTCGGCACTATAAGAGGGTTTCGCACAACCAGTCACTCTCGTTGCTGCGTGGTTTCGAGGCAACAGTGTAGTAATGGTGATGCTGTGGACCATATGTTCATTCTTGTGGACCACTGGTGATCCACAGAGCATAGGCCGGGAACCACTGCTATAGCTGAATGACTAAAAGAGGTTCTTTTTATTTATGACTGACTGAAGGCAAAACTATCCAAGAATTGTTTCTTCTGCAAATGAAAAACTAAGTGAGATTGCCTTGTCTTTGAGAAAAGAAATCACTTTTTCAAATGGTAAAAAAAAAAACTTCCCTTGACTTATATATGCAGTTGATGTATACAGGAGTATATACAGTATGTAAAGAACACAAACAAATTGTGAACCGCTGTTTTGAAATATTACATCTTTATGGAGCTCAACCCTTTGTAATGTGCTGCTACGGGAAGATCACCTGAAATTGGAATCAAGCCTTGAATGGCAGTGTCTATAACTTTTATATAATACAGAGTAAATTAAAATTGAGCCATACCTACCTGTCATTTAGCAACAGAAATATCTTGACTCTTACACAGCAGAGTATCTTGTTCAATATTGTTGCAGTTGATTATAAAAGCACATGAATTTTAACACAGTATTTTCAAGACATTTCTCATGGGATTTTCAAAGTATTTTTCACTTTTGCCATCAGTCTGTGAGCCATCTGAAAGTCTATAAGCCACTGTGATGGTATAAGTTTAGAATTGCTGTCCTAACATCTGACAGATTACAGCAGGCTATGACCAAATCTTGAAGCTAGCTTCAATGGATGCTATTGTTATTCAACAGTGCAGTCATTATTTGTTTTTGGATATGTTGAATCGTATTGTATAATGTGAAACATATTCATGATGAATTACCATGATTTAAGAATGCAACATCAAGGTCATTTTGCCATGACTTTTTTCTATGTCAAACAACAAACATCAATATAAGACCAATTAATTATGAAACAGAATCAAAGATCAGAGTAGGCTTTGGATTGCCAGTACAGTACAGAGATACAGAATGTACTCATTCCATATTTCTGTATTGAAGCATATTTAAATTAATGCTGAACAAGGATATGGTTTCTTTGCCCATAACAGACAACAGGCTTTGCGTTACATATGTAGGGTGTTTCTTATAGATCTCTATAATGAGACATGTTTATTAGATCATTGATGACTGTGGCCCCCATCTACACAAGCTGTAAAACCCAGAATGATGTTTATTATAAGGGGGAGTGGCAGCTAGAAAATGCACATCCCTAATGTGCGCTGCAATACACATCCACATGGAAAATACGTGTTTAAAAAAGTGAGGAGAAAGCCAAAATTGGTGATAAAATGTGCTGCAGCTGACCAAGTGTATGGATACTGCAGAGCAGAAATTCGGGAGGAACATGCACAGTACTTGTACAAACAGCTGCACTGCTGGAAAATTTGGATAAAGGAACCAGATATAGCACTCTCAGGAAAGTAAACAAACTCCTCCCCCTCCCAAAAGAAAATTTTCCCTCCCCTTTTTTGAGTTGGAAGATGAGTTCCATTGCCGATTCTCATCTGATAGTCTGCTGCAGTTTAGTACATTTCTCCCAATGGGATATGAAAAAAATGTTATTCCGTTGGATCGATTTGGATGAAAGGAGCTTTGTGGTCGCCATGGGAGCTTTTTTGCAGTTTCCAGGGTGCAGGTGGAGACTCTCTGGAGTGGAATAGGATTTCTTTAATTCACATTCTGATCTGGATTATGTGACTGTGTAGGAGCAGGCAGTACTGGCAATTAACATTAACATACTGGTGTATTATAGCAGCTGGGGACAACCTTCTCAAATTTTAATATAAAACACATAAAAGGACACTAGATGAAACAACCACCTCAAATTTTAATATAAAACACATAAAAGGACCTGAGTGCCCCCCAGGGGGTTGAGAAGGGCAGGGTATAAATACCAGAAATAAATAAATAAATAAATAAATAAATAAATATAATGACACCACATTGCTGGCCTTGCTTCGAAACAAAAAGACAGAATTAAGAGTCTAAGACAAAAAAAGTGAACTGATTCTTATTAATTAACACAGAGGACAAGATAACACACAAAATTCAGGTTTTAACACAAACACACTCACACAAGTGGGTAAAAATACCTATTATTACGAGCCATACTTATCGTTTTTTAAATTTGGTGTATTCAAAAGTAGGCAAGAAAAGAGTTTCTACCTTCCAATATTCAAATTATGGAATTCATCTGGGATTTTGAATCCTTGTATACATTTTGGTTGCTGAGTTGTGTTTGCAGATAGCAGCACCAACAGCTAGGGTTTTGTTTTTGTAATGCTTTCTTCTTTAAAA